AAATACGCACAAGGAACGAGTAATCTCTGGGACTGCTTCCCATTACCTTCTTTCCACGTCGACGATTTGGTTTTTTTTTAAATTTTCCAACTATCTCTCCAATTTTTGCATAAGTAACGCAAGAGTATCCAACTTCTGAAATGTAAAGTTATGGCTTTTGAGTGGTCTCGCAGGTTTTATTTTGCTTACGGTTATGTTGGATATCTTTTTACATTATTCTCGAATTAGTCTTAGCTTATTGCAACCTTTTCGCTTCTGATTTAACTTAAAACTAAAAAAAGCTCGCTAGATCAGTTACCAGTCTTGTTACCATATAGACAGGGGCCGAATGCCCTTGCCCTTGGAACTCCAGCTTCTCTGATGTAGTCACCCGAAGTAGCTGCGTTGCATCTCAGTGAAAATACCCTATTGTAAAGGTACGACTCTTGACTCTTGAGATACTTGTATCTTGTGAGTGTATGTTGGTAAATGCGTTTCAATTTTGTGCATGAATCCATTAAGCCAAACTCGGTAGTGTAATATGCACATATGTAGAAACATGTAGCGAGGTAACACTGTACCCTGAATGCATATAACAAACAAATAAACCAATTCAAGTGCGCGAAATATGACCGCCCACTTATGAGTTAGGCTAAGTCAGCATAAGACTCTCTCTCTATACATTTACATAAACTAAGCTGCCGGCTCAACTGGCAGCGCAGTGCTCGCCAAACTGATGTATTTAGACTTAGAGAATTCTTTATCTTTTGAATTAAAATCAGAAATAAAACAGTAATCAAAGAGCACAGACGTGCGAATATAATTCGCACCTGGAGGACTTAGGACTGCACTTGCAACAGCAGCAGTCAGCAATTGAAGAAGAACAAGATCAAGAATAAGAAGAAGCAGAAGCAGCGTTGCAGAGATGCCTTCCAACGATACAGTCAGCAACTGAAGAAGAACAAGACCGAGAATAAGAAGAAGCAGAAGCAGGAGAAGCAGCGTTGCAGAGATGCCTTCCAACGATACAGTCAACAACTGAACATGAACAAAACGGAAATAATTCTGAGTGAGTACAGGCAATGAGCAAAAGGCGTAGTGGGGTCAAAGAACGTCTCAGAAAACGCAAGTCTGAGATCGTAAAGACCATCAACAAAAGCAAAAATCCCCCAAAGTGGAATATTGCTCAAAAACTTTTCAACGAACTCGAACACATCGACGAACTCAAACACTTGTTAAAGAAAAAAGCCACTGACTTAACCTGTAACTCACACACAATTTAAAATAAAATAATTAATCCAAAAACTCATCGTCCAGATCGGAAAAGGATAAAGCCTTACAAAGCCAGATGTCCAGCTGACTGTGAAGGCCCATTATACAGCGCGTACTGCATGGAGACATGCATACCAGGTACCAGGAACAGCAACAAAAGCCAGTGAACCCAGCAACGGCACCGCCGGCAAATCATGCTGCGCCTAAAGAAGTCGACAGCACCACAAAGGGTGCAGATGCCGGCGGCACTACATAGAGTGCAGGACAACCCGACAGCGCAACTACGTGCGCCCAACGCCTAGATAGCTAAACTAATAATAATAATCATATATATATATATAAGTCAATGTTATTTCCGACGACAATTGAGTCGACCGGTAAGCCGTTTGGCCCGAAAAGCCATTCGAAACAATAGGCAGGAAAATATGTATAAAAACTAAATGTCTATAGAGACAAATAAGATAAGCAAAGATATAGAATTAGAATTATCAGAAAATTTTGCCAACATGGGCATTGTGGACGTTAAAACTGTAAAACTACAGCCAATGTTATCAACAAAGTAGAAGTTAATAACACAAATCTATTGTATAAAGTATATAAATACCACAATAAATGTATCAAGAAAAGATACCAGAGCCAAGCAAATGACTTGGATAAAATTTAAGAAAAAAAATATAAAACAAAAAGCGAAAAAAAAGAACATTGTAATCTACATAGGTAAGCTGATAAAATGACAATTTTATGAATAATCTAATTCCACTCGCTAATTTGTTTAATCTATCTATGTGGTATCATTGAAATACAACTTGATTGAATAATTGAATTTTGAATTTAAGGCAATGCCCGAAATACAAATAGGTTCATATTTAAACGATGTTTTAGTACAGGACCCAGATTTCGGAATTCGTGCAGTTAGCATTCTGCACATACACAAGGATATGGAAACATATAACCGTATGTTCAGCCCTCTTTTGTACTTCGCTAATACAATTAAAGCAATAATTTTGAATACATTTCCGTATGTATATATCAAAAAAGTAAAAGAAACTAGTCCAATACTGGGCGAATGTACAATTTTAATTGTAAAACTGCATAGATAGATGAAAGAGAGAACTTTAAAAATAAAAATATATATAGATAACTAAAGACACGGCGAAGAACTATTTCATTATTTTCCATTATAAATTGCAATGGAAAGGAATAATTTGAACGCCAAATTAGTTGATATTAAAACACAATTCGATAAGTCGTATAAATGCTTAACGCAAAACAGAAGCGTATCTAGCGTAACAGTGAATAAACACGCAACAACGCTAGTTGCTTGTTTCAACCAAGCACGTTCATTGATACACGACAATAGAAAAAAGTTAAACTCTCACCATTGGTCGTATGTATCTAGATTTTTACAGAGGTTGAAAAATAACCTTCAGAATAAAAAGACAAAATACTTACTAGAAATTACAATACCTTCGATACTAAACACACTAGCAGTAATCGAAGAAAAAAAAAACAGATACAGAAGCTGTAAGCGATTCAGAAATCGCAAGCGATTCAGAATATCAGAGTAAAGAAGAAGATCTACAGGATCTCACGATACCAGCGGTAATACATTTTCCCGAGGTATCCGAATCTGAGTCAGAATCAATATCTGAAAAAGTCGTAAACATGTCACAGGTAGAATACCTAAAGATTGCCTCATCTCTGCTGCCAGAGTTTGATGGAAAGGCAGAAAATCTGACAAGTTTTATAGACGCATTGAATATAATTGATTCATTAAAAGGCCCACATGAAACAACAGCCATTAACTAAATAAAGTCAAAATTGAAAGGCCATACAAGAAAGCTCATTACCACAGAATCAACTATTGTTGACATAATTGGTAAATTGAAAAGTAAAATAAAAGGTGATTCAGTATCAGGAATAACTGCAAAACCAATGAACCTTCAGCAAAAGCAAAAAACGGCCAATCAATATGTACAAGAGGTAGAGAAGTTGGCAAAGGCCCTAGCCTACGTCGACGATGGACTTTCCTCCGAAACAGCCACTAAATACAGCACAGAGCATGCTGTCAGTGCAATTATTAAAAATTGCTCTATAGAAAAAGTTAAATACATAATGGAGGCTGGAACATTCAGCACTCTAGACCAAGCAACGACTAAGTTTGTCAATAGTTGCACAGATGCAACAGGACAATCTAATACTGTTCTATACTTCAGTGGTCAACGACCCTATAAAAGAGGTAGTCGAGGAAACTACCGAGATAGAATAAATACCCAAAAAAACAGTAATCGTCGTTATAATAATAACAATAGAGGCAGGGGCCAGTATAGAGGAAATTATAAAGCTATCGGTAATCAAAGCCGCGGTCAAAATAATAACTCCTCTAATGTACGTGTCATTCAGGGTAGATCGGAAAACTACCAGGCTCCTTTAGGTACACAAAGTTAAATAAAAAAGTACACACAATCAACTTAAACCTTTATAAGGCAATAACTCCGATTTTCTTCATTTTTTTTTTGTTCGGTAGATAAGTGAAAATAAAAAATACACTTCTTCTTATTTTTTTTTTAAGGTGGGTTTTTCTTAATTTTTTTTAAATAAGCGAAAAAAAGCGATTTTTTTAAACTAAGCGAAATTGTTGATTTATTTGTATTATAATGCAAAAAACACAAAAACTCAAAAATATGCAACATAATATAATATTTACCTATTTTTAACCATTAATTGAATCAATAATTCAATTTTTTTTGATTTTTTATATTTTGGATGAGAAACTGCACAACCAATTCAGATTACCACATTCACCAAATTGGCGAGAAAAGTAATCACCTGTTGAGTATTGGACAGAATTCTGACTGACCAACACTTGTTATATAAAAAACGAAAGTTGCTGAACTGCATCAAAAAGATTTTAGACAGTTTTTTAACGCAGGTTGAAAAATAATTGAATTTAAACGGTATGTTGCAGATATGTAACAAGGCCATATAAAGGGTTAAGTCTTAATATGTTGGTAGTATTCAAAAACTCCGCCTCAAATAATATTCTCACTGTACGGTCATTTTCGTTGTCGTAATGTTCATTACGTTGTTAGTGCATACCACAACCCTACAATCGATACCTGCTTGATGTCTATCGATCTCGAGACCCCGGTCCCTTTGGAAAGCGGGACATCTCTAAGCTTCTTCCTTACGACTTCTAAGCTTCTTCCAATTATTACCCATTACACACATTTTTTGAAACACATTTGTTATACTGCCAACATTGTTTGATCTCTAAAATCAATTCAAATTAAATTCAGTGACATACTTGAAACCAACCCTGTGTTTTTATAAAACGGCAACAGCAAAGTCCCCATAGCAGACTTCTGCTAATCGTTGACTCCCGTATTCTATCGGTGCAGTCACAACATTTTTGGTGGCCCATGAGGGGAACCTGTTGTTAAATGTGCCAATGAATGGAATTTGAATTGATTTGGAACTAACAATTGGGCTCAAATTAATCTGAAACAAACGGCTATTAACCTATGCCACGTGTAACCACGCTTTCTACGAATAACGGACCGAAGAACAAGGGATCGCTGCGAGACGAATAACGGACAAAGGAAGGAGAGATTGCTGCGAGACGAATAACGGACCAAAGGAACGACGAATTGAAACTGGAAACTGCTACACAGACTGACTGGAAGCCGGTGAGTGTTTGTATGTGAGGGCTGTGATTTCAAGCGTGCTGTTGTAAATTCAATAAAACTATGGGTATCGACGATGTAAAGACAGGCACACAAGCCAATCCTTCCCCATCCGACCAGTTTGCTGGTTTGCACGCGAGACAGAAGGATTTATGGAACAGGTTGACGCAACTCGAGCGTAACTTCAAGAAGGATAGCCAATCCCGAAAATCCAAACATTATTTTCTTCAGCGCCTTAGCACGTTAAAGGATTTATCCACCCTGTTTGATGCGAATCACCAACAATTGGTCGATCAGCTGTGTCCCAGTCAACATGTATATTTCTCAGACAACCTATACGAGCGGTTTGTTGAAGAGCACCAGCACATCTTCTGCAACATCTCGGAAGAATACGACAACAAGTTCTCAGTGACAGCCCAAGGTTCCCCACCAATCGAGTCCGTCACTCCAATTTTATCATCCAACATTCCGCTTCCGAAGCTTCCAGCTCCACGCTTTTCGGGAAGCTTTACGGATTGGCCCTCGTTTTACGATGGTTTCCTACAACTCATCCATGACAACAACACTCTCTCTAACATCCAGAAGTTTCACTTTCTCAAGCAGGCCTTGCCCGAAGGACGGGACCAGGATGTCAGTCACATGGCATTAACGGATTCTGGGTATACGGTAGCCTGGGATCTCCTCGTCAAGCGCTACAACAATCCACGTCTCCACTTTATGCACACCATGGCGGCACTGTATGGGCTTGAGTCGGTTCCCAAGGAAGCTTCAGAAGGTATCAGGCGCGTGCTAACCCTGGCTAATGTTTGCATTAGTGATCTTCGACGTTTAAAAATAAACATTGATTCCTGCGATCACTGGCTAGTGCATCATCTGTTAACCAAACTACCAAGCAGCACTACGCAAGCGTGGGAGCACTCATTGGGGAGCTCCACCGAGATTCCAACCTTTTCGATGTTGGAGACTTTCCTGCTGGAGCGCTTAGTTAGCATCGACCTAATCGAAAATCGAAATCAACCACTTGGAACTCGTTCAGCACCAGGACAATCTTCCCATCCACGTGCGCCTAACCGATCCAACTTCAATTCCACTAACCGCCACAGTTTTCAAGTGACTACGGAAATGGGAGCACCCCAGTGCACTTTCTGCCAAAGAAACCATGTTCTCCGGAGATGCCCCAGTTTTCTCGCGAAGGATTGCTTTGCTCGTAAGACGATCGTCGATCGCATAAAAGCATGCCTCAATTGTCTCAGCACAGGCCACGCGCTAAGTCACTGCGGCAGCACTCGCAATTGCTTACAGTGCGGCCAACGCCACCATACGCTACTGCATTTTCCGAACATAGCAACCCAGCCTACCAACTCTGCCCTATCGCGACAGCCAACGAACGGTGTCCATAGCGCGCAGGGCACCCAACAGAGCGTAGCATCCCGCTCATCTGTTTTGTCTCAACAGCACAGCTTAGCCCCCGGCTTAACTGCTTCGAACGAGACGCAACTCCTCAGCGCAGTTGCCACCTATCAAAATCCATCCACCACGATTCTCGCCACGGCCCTAATCCGAATTGTCAACGACCAAACGGGACAATCTGTTTTAGCCAGAGCGTTGATTGACCATGGCTCGGAAGGAACACTTATCACCGAAAGCTTAGTACAGACGCTGGGTCTCTCACGCACCCCTATATCTGCGGAAATAACAGGGATCGGCGACTCCTCTCACAATCGTTGTCGACATAGTACCAATTTTGTCCTAAGCTCGATTTCAGGTTCCCAGTTCACATCGTTTGTATCCACTGCATTTATTCTCCGTACACTTACAGGGCACCTTCCAAAATCGGATGTCGACCCTCGCTCATTCCAACACCTTAAAAGATTGCAACTCGCCGATCCCAATTTTGCCCGCTCCGGTCGTATTGACGTGCTTGTGGGCGTTGATCTTATTCCACAATTGATGCTCCCAGAAATTCGACGAGGAACTCATGAGGAACCCATCGCACAAAACACTCTTCTTGGTTGGATTGTTTTTGGACCAGTGAGGAAATCCATGACACACTCCATCACTGTCCGTTGTAACACCACGACGCTTGATCATCTGGTGCAAAGGTTCTTCGAACTAGATAGCGTGCCGTCTGAACGCCAACTCACCACAGAGGAACGATGGTGTGAAGAACACTTTCGTCAAACCCATGTTCGACAGCCCAACGGGAAATACATGGTTCGCTTACAACTGAAAACCTTGTTCGACCCGTCACAAGTTCTAGGCCGATCAAAACATATAGCCTTAAATCATTTCTACACACTAGAGCGAAAATTGCAGCAGCGCGATAAGCTTCATCAACAATATCTCCAAGCAATCGAGGAATATTTTGACTTGCAGCAAATACAAGAAGTCACTACAAGCGAAGACAGTCACTCTCATATCAACACAAATGGGAAGCTCGGCGTCTTCTGCAGCACGATTCCACACCATGAAGTCCTGAAGGAGGACAGCCTGACGACTAAACTCAGGGTAGTCTACAACGCCTCTTGTAAGAGCTCCAACGGGAAATCACTGAATGACATTTTATGTACTGGCCCAGCTCTACAGAACGATTTGGGAGGAGTGATACTAAATTGGCGTTGTTATCGCTATGTTTTCGTGGCGGACATCTAAAGGATGTACCGATGTATCGAAATGCATCCAGAGGACTCTCAATTCCAGCGCATTTGGTGGCGTGACAAAACCGGAGAGTTAAAAGAGTTCCGTCTCACCACAGTTACCTTCGGAACAGCATCAGCGCCATACACAGCGATTCGGGTGATCCACCAAATAGCTCAGGACGAACGAGAAAATTATCCGCTAGCAGAAAAGGTACTGAAAAGGGAGATTTATGTTGATGACGTACAAAGCGGCCATGAGACCACGGACGGTGCCATTCGAGTGCGAAACGAGGTCATAGCAGCCCTCCGCTCGGCTGGTATGCATCTTCGAAAATGGGCAGCGAACCACCCGGCGTTGCTTAGCGATATTCCTAAAGTAGACCTCTGCAACCACTCAATCTTCGGACAATAAAGACAGCATTAAAACGCTTGGACTGTACTGGCAGCCAAACCCGGACGTCTACGGATTCAAAATCCATTTCTCGATCAATCCCACACTTTCGAAAAGGGCTCTTTTATCAACAGTGGCGCGGCTCTTCGATCCATTAGGATTTTTAGCACCCTTGATAGTCATGTCAAAAATTCTCCTCAAGGACGTATGGAGCTTCCGTATGCAGCAAACTGATGGCACTTACCGTGCACTCGATTGGGACGACATGCTACCAGAGTCTTTGGCAGCGCGTTGGCAGCGATATCTCGAACATCTTCCAGAAGTTCAACACATTCGCATACCACGCTGGTTCGGTTGCGATTTCAGCAACGTGATATCTCTTCAATTGCACATGTTCTCCGATGGGTCGTCCCTCGCGTATGCAGCGTGTGCCTACCTTCGAGTACTCGACATTGCTGGAATTATACATACACACTTAGTCGCAGCTCGCACTAGGGTTACACCAACAAAGCCTCTCACCATACCGCGAGTGGAGCTTTCCGGAGCAGTTCTAGCTACCAAACTCGCCACATGGATCCAGCAGCAACTTCACGTGCCTCAGATGCGGGTCACAGTGTACTACTGGTCAGACGCCATGATCGTGCTTCACTGGATATATGGAGATCCATGCAGGTGGAAGACTTTTGTAGCCAATCGAATTGGCAGCATCCAAGAGGTCAGCTCTGCTTCCCAGTGGGGTCATGTGTCTACGCAGGACAACCCTGCGGATTGTGCAACGCGTGGTTTAACCCCACTACAGCTCGCGCAGGATAAGCTCTGGTGGAGCGGCCCAGACTGGTTGCAGGAACCCGAAGATCATTGGCCCAAGGTAACTTTTACTTCTCCAGATCCGAGCACAATCTGCGAGGAACAGGCAGCAAAAGTTATCCACGCTCACACCTGTGCATCCACTGATTCCTTTGTTGAGTCATTTTCGTCATACAGTCGACTTGTATTTTCCACAGCATTCATTAATCGCTTTATCCATAATACTCGCTGCAAAAGGGAGGCTCGGCTTTCCGGACCAATTAGCGTAAAGGAGTTTTCCAAGGCAATGTATACTCTGGTTCGCGTTGTCCAACAGGAAGCATTCTCTCACGAACTGTCCAAGTTGCGAGCAAACAAATCGCTCTCAAAATCTAACAAGCTTAGCCAACTGTCGCCATTCATAGACGCCCAAGGGATCCTCAGAGTGCGGGGCAGACTTCGAAACGCTTCGCAGCTCACCACTCAACAACGCACGCCCATCATCCTACCGAAGTCACATCATTTTACGGACCTCGTCATAAAAAACGCCCATCTGAACACCATGCATGGGGGTGTGCAACTGACCCGTGCGATCATCCATCAGCAGTTTTGGATCATTAATGGCAAACAAGCGGTAAAAAGAGTTCTCCGACAGTGTGTGGCTTGCTTTCAGCATCGCCCTAAACCCTCTCGACAATTAATGGGTGATCTTCCATAGCATCGTGTTAATCCGCCGAAAAGAGCGTTCGAAGCTACAGGTGTGGATTACACAGGATCTATCGATGTCAAGGCCTCGAGGTTCAGAGGACACACTACATACAAGGCCTATATTGCTGTATTCATTTGCCTCGCCAGTAAAGCTATCCATTTGGAGCTGGTGACAGGCCTCACAGCACAACATTTTCTCTGGGCTCTCCAACGGTTCAATGGACGCCGCGGTTTTGTGCGGCACATGTACAGTGACTGCGGCACAAATTTTATAGCAGCAGATAAATCCCTACAGTTGTGGTCTAACGAGTTCCGGCAGGAAATCAACCAGACAGTCGTCCCAGAACTCACAAAGCGCTATATTCAGTGGCACTTTAACCCCCCACACAGCCCAAACTTCGGAGGACTTTGGGAGGCTAACGTCAAAGCCGTAAAGTCTCATCTTCATCGTTCCTTCAAAAGATACCCAATGACTTATGAACAATTATCAACCGTTCTTATCCAGATCGAGGCCTGTCTTAACTCTCGGCCATTATGCCCGTTGACCGCGGATATTAACGATCTGCAAGTATTGACTCCAGCTCATTTTCTCATCGGAGACTCCATGCAATCGCTTCCTACCCCCAGTGACAAGGACAAGTCGCTCAACATACAATTCATGGAGGGACAACGGATCCTACGCCAGTTCTGGAAAAGGTGGAGCTCAGATTGGTTGTCTCACCTTCAGGCACGCCCTAAGTGGAGACAAGAGGAAGAAAACCTACAGGTCAATGACCTAGTTATTATCAAGGACGACAGGACAGGTCCAACCGATTGGAAACTAGGTCGTGTTACAGAATTACACCCTGGAGCCGATGGGATGGTACGAGTTGCAACAATCTATACAGGTTCGGGTACATATAAGCGATCAGTATCCAAGATCTGCAGATTACCCATCCCGAATTACACGGAATCTAAAGTCGAGGAAGCTAATCTTGAACAATAGTGATACACGCATTTGATCTCACATCCATACCACAGCAAACATTTCACCTGTTTCTTTCAGTTACCATTAGAAGGATGTCTTAATGCTGGACCCAGCATTGCGGGGCGGCATGTACGGTCATTTTTGTTGTCGTAATGTTCATTACGTTGTTAGTGCATACCACAGCCCTACAATCGATACCTGCTTGATGTCTATCGATCTCGAGACCCCGGTCCCTTTGGAAAGCGGGACATCTCTAAGCTTCTTCCTTACGACTTCTAAGCTTCTTCCAATTATTACCCATTACACACACTTTTTGAAACACATTTGTTATACTCCCAACATTGTTTGATCTCTAAAATCAATTCAAATTAAATTCAGTGACATACTTGAAACCAACCCTGTGTTTTTATAAAACGGCAACAGCAAAGTCCCCATAGCAGACTTCTGCTAATCATTGACTCCCGTATTCTATCGGCGCAGTCACAACACTCACATTTCTTCTAGATACAGGAGCAGACATTTCATTACTAAAAGATAATTCAGATGCTTTTCATATAATTCAGAAAAACATCAAGCAAGATAGAACAATAGATATACAAGGCATTGGACAGGGAGTAATTAAGTCCAATGGTTTAGTTCGAATTGAATTGCAGACTGACAAGTATACAATTCCGCACAATTTCCATTTAGTTTCAAAAAATTTCGCAATACCATGCGACGGAATTATAGGAGTTGACTTTTTAAAAACGTTTAATTGCAAATTAGATTGTAAACCAGCCAATGATTGGTTCATAATAAGACCAAATAACTTAAAATACCCAATAAACGTTCCAATAAAGTTCAGTTCTGGTAATAATTTCATATCACACAAGATCTGAAGTTGTCCAAATCAAGAAATAGTATCCGGTATTTATGTTGCGAATACTGAATACAACCAGTACCGACCAATTAATAGATATAAATATCATACAGTATGAACCGCTTTCGAATTACGAGATAATTCAACCAATCAAAGGTTCTAGAACAGATGAAGTCATATCCAAATTAAAGAAAAACTTTCCTTAGCAATTTGAATCAAAGCTCACCGACATATGTTCTAAATATAGTGATATATTCGGACTCGAAACTGAATCAATCACAACTAATAATTTTTACAAACAACATTTAAGACATAAAGATAAAGAACCAGTGTACATAAAAAACTACAGAATACCCTACAGTCATCAATACGAAATAAAGAACCAAGAAGATAAACTTATTAAAGACAATATAGTTGAAGAGTCTGTATCTGAATACAATAGCCCACTTCTGTTAGTACCTAAGAAATCACTCCCAGGTTCTAATGATGAAAAATGGAGATTAGTAATAGACTATCGCCAAATTAATAAAAAACTTCTGTCCGATAAATTTCCCCTACCCAGGATTGACGACATATTTGATCAATTAGGTAGAGCTAAATACTTTTCATGCCTTGACTTTATGTCAGGTTTTTGTCAAATAGATGTCAAATTTTTATGTCAAATAGAGCTTGAAGAAAAATCAAGAAATATAACGTCATTCTCAACCAACAACGGCTCATATCGTTTCACGCGATTGCCATTTGGTTTAAAAATAGCACCAAATTCATTTCAGAGAATGATGACAATAGCATTCTCGGGTCTAGAACCATCCCAAGCATTCCTTTATATGGACGATCTAATCGTCATTGGATGTTCAGAAAAACCTATGATCAAAAACCTTACCAATGTATTTGAACTCTGTAGAAAAAATAACATCAAATTACATCCACAAAAAAGTTCATTCTTTATGCACGGAGTGACATTTCTTGGTCACAAGTGCACAGATAAAGGAATACTTCCAGATGACAAAAAGTATGATGTCATCATGAATTATCCCGTACCACACGGACATTGGGGACAGTGCTAGAAGATTCGTTGCATTCTGCAACTATTATCGACGTTTTATAAAAAACTTCGACGACTATTCACGGCACTTAACACGATTAAGTAAAAAAAATGTCCCATTCTTATGGACAGACGAATGCCAAAAAGCATTCCTGTATTTAAAAAAGAATCTTATGGAACCAACCCTGTTGCAATATCCCGATTTCAGCAAAGAATTTTGCATAATGACTGAAGCAAGTAAGCAAGCATGTGGAGCAGTTTTAACCCAAAACTATAACGGACTCCAACTTCCCATTGCTTACGCATCGAGAGCATTCACAAAAGGTGAAAGCAATAAGAGTACTACAGAACAAGAATTAGCAGCAACCCACTGGGCAATATTACATTTTCGTCCATATATTTATGGAAAACATTTTACAATTAAAACAGATCACAGACCTTTAACGTATTTATTTTCTATGGTAAAAACTAGTTCTAAATTAACACGCATGCGGCTAGAATTAGAAGAATACGACTTTACTGTCGAGTATGTAAAGGGTAAAGATAATTTCGTGGCAGACGCCCTATATAGGATAACAATATCCGAATTAAAAGACATACAAAATAAAATCCTGAAAGTCACTACCAGGTACCAAAGTAGACGAAATGTCTACGCAGATAATGAAAAAGTAGAATTGCCAAGGCAATCTTCAGAAAAAGCTTCTCAGTCCAACGTATACCAAGTCATAAATAAAGACGAAGTACGTAAAGTAGTGACCTTGCATATAAAAGATGTGCTATGTTTATTTAAATATGGTAAGAGAATTATAGCAAGAATAGATATTGGTGATTTATGTGCAAATGAAAATATTGACTTAGAACAACTATTTCCAAGGCTTGAAACAGAAGCCGGTACATTAAAAAAATACATTTGAAAATGGCACCGCGGGAACACATCTTTGAAAAAATTTCAACAGATGATTTCAAAAATATGGGCAATAATTTATGGAATTTAAGAGTAATATAGCGAAGGCTATATTCGAAAATTTTATTCTGAAGTACGGTCCAATGGAGACGTTCATTACGGACATGGGAACAGAATACAAAAATTCGATAATAAATGTCCTGTGCAAGTATTTAAAAATAACTAATATAACATCTACTGCACACCACCATCAGACAGTTGGAACAGTCGAAAGAAGTCATAGAACTTTTAATGAATACATACGTTCATATATATCGGTTGATAAAACTGATTGGGATGTATGGATCCAATATTTCGTATACTGTTTCAATCCCCACGACTCCAAGTTTCACGACCCCATCTATGGCACATGACTATTGTCCATATGAACTTGTCTTTGGAAAAACAAGTAACTTACCTAAGCATTATAATAGCGTAAATAATATATAACATAGATCCAATATATTACATAGATGATTACGCTAAGGAAAGTAAATATAGATTAGAAGTAGCATACAAAAGTATGCTATGAAGTAGCAAGATACGAATAAGCAGACTCGAATATACAGAAAAATAAGGAATATTATGATAAAAAAAAACTAAAGAAATAAGTCCATCAATAGGAGATAAAGTTTTACTTAAAAATGAAGTATGACATAAATTAGACTTCCAATACACAGGGCCCTATAGAGTTGAACAAATTAATGATAGAGATAATATAGTTATTTCCGGAAGTAAAAACAAAAAACAAACAGTACATAAGGATAGGATACAAATTTTTATTTCATAAGAATCAACGGTCATACATTTCAAAAATACTATATACATACATATATATTGAAAAAGAAAACACTAAAAAAAAATTTTTTTTTCAAATATAATAATAAAATTGCCAATTTTTAGCATACAAAAAAAAAAAAATAATTAAATTTTACAAATAAAAAATATAAAAAAAAAAATAAACAAAATTTTAAAAATAACTTCACTAGACTACGTTATTTTTCAAAAGGAGGGAGATTTTATATGCACATATGTAGAAACACAAACAAATAAACCAATTCAAGTGCGCGAAATATGACCGCCCACTTATGAGTTAGGCTAAGTCAGCATTCCAACGCTGACCGCATGTGCCAAAGACATGTGTGCATAAGACTCTCTCTCTCTCTCTATACATTTACATAAACTAAGCGTGCATGCTCATGTGACATGCTCGCCCTCTCAACATACTACCTAAGTATATGTATATAAGAAATATATAATATAATGTAGCCGCTCCGCTGCCGGCTGAACTGGCAGCGCAGCGCTCGCCAAACTGATGTATTTAGACTTAGAGAATTCTTTATCTTTTGAATTAAAGTCAGAAATAAAACGGTAATCAAAGAGCACAGACGTGCGAATATAATTGGCTCATTTCTGGGCGATCTGGCTGATTACAATAGAATGCTTGGGACTTGCAGAGAGAATGGCGTTACAGTATTCTCGTTGTTCGAAGGCTGAGAATATTTGTGATGTTAATCTGTTCCCTTATTTCCTAATCTTCTCTCTCAAATTATTTTGACGGGATAATATTGCAAGCTCCAGATGTGCTATTTTGCGAGTTAACAAGCATTTTTCAAAAAGTTTTGACAAACAGAGAGATATAAGGCTCTTTGGTCTGTACGATGTTGGAATTGTGTTGTCTTTTCCAGGCTTTACTATCATCAAAGATTATAAAGTACATAGATGGGACATATCATACAAAGAAAAATTTTCTATGGCGGGTTCCAGCAGTGGAACCCGCTGGAACGAGCGGGTTCCATTGCGCGACAAGTTAAGTTTGAGAAATTTTTCGCGCGGCAACGATTGAGGAATAGCCGAGTGGTAGAGTGCTTGGCTGGTGTGCCCTTCTATTCCCTTCCCAGGCTCGGGAAGTCCAATTTTTTTAATTTTAAATCTATTTATATTATTGTTTTATTATTTTAATGTGTTTTCCAAAATTTATAATCCAATAAAAAAGAATACAAAATTGTAAAATAACCTTAACATCGTCTCAGTTCGTAGTGAAACCCGCTGTAAAAATGTCTATAAGTGCGGGTTCTACGGCATTTTGGTAGGCCGCGTCATGGAACCCGCTCTCATGTGTTTTCATTTTTTCCGTCGTGGAACCCGCTGTAATAATGAAAACATTTGAG